ACTTTTTATCATTCGCATTTGTCATTCCAAACTTACGTTTATCCGCACCTTAGCAATTGAATTTGGCGAGTTTCTGAATTTAGTTGCCACTCATCACGCATTATTATATATTACAATACTTTGGCACGTTCCTCTGGCCTAAAATATTGTTTGTGCGAGAATTCGACAGCATTTTGGTCATCACTTAGTTTTTGCGCCATTTGTTTGGTTGATATTTTTTTGTTTTGTGGAAAAGTTTGCAAAAACTGTCAATGTCTTGGACAAATAGTGGAGAAATGCATAAGCTCGGACTGACTTACTTGGACGAAGGTAAGTAGGACACGAAGTGATAACTTTTACAATTTCCCTCTGGAATTCGTATTGAAAAGTTTTCTTTATTCTCGAGTGAAATAATATTAATTTTAAGATTTAGTGATATTCTACTTGATTGGTGACAAGAAAAAACAATGAAAATGAAAAAGCAGTCGTGCGCAAACATTTTGAAACACTTAACAAAACTTTTTTTTAATATATGTATAGGGTGAGCAATTTTTTTGATTGACATAAGAGAATAACTTTTTTTGAAACCAGCAGTTAAGTACAATTCAATACTGACAGATGTTTTTTATGTGAAATTTATTTGAGTGAGGAATAGTGGAAAATCGTCAGTATGCAGCGCCTGAAATAAACTGATTGAAGCATTCGGAGACCCCGATTCTATAAGAGTTAATTTTAAGAACATATCGACCGATATCGCAGAAAATATGGTCAAATATGTCCTAAATATCTAATGCGAAAAAGAGAAGACATTAATTGAACTTATAATTCTCCAGATATGACTCATCTTGGTTTATCTTTCGAATTAGTTTGAGTCTAAACGAACAATCGCTGATCTACAAGTAATGACGAGGCAAGACAAGCATTTATGCCAAATTTGTCGCAAATCACTCGATATTCCCATAAGAATAATGGAAACTGAAGAAAGAGGTGCCCATTTTGATTGAGGTTTAATAAAAAAAACTTCATATAAATTGCAAAGTAATAAAATATAAAAGGCTGCTAACTTTTTCTAAATAATTCAATGTTAACATATCAGTATATAAGATGGCGCAACTTTTATATACATATTTAAGTACCACAAAAGTGAATTGGGGTAGTGTTGATAGTCGACAGGCTTTTACTTTTGAGAAAAAGTGAACTAAGCAACATTTTAGCGGTCATTACAGAACATCTAAGATCTTGAAAGAGTGGAACTTCTGTGAATGTATGGCTCCCAATATTTAAATTTTAAAGATATTTGACAGTTATGGTGGAAAAAACTCAGTTGTTTTATCAAATCTACTGAGTTGCTAATTTGGGCTTATATGATAACCACTTGGCTGCACATTAGGTCAAATGATGACTTGCGGTCAGACACTTCGGTGCCTCCCTTTTCTACCACCCCAACATTTCCTTCACTAGATGTTCTACAACGCCTTAGAAAAATTTACATGAGATCAGCATCAAATACTTAATTAATACTAGTTTTCAACCTATACATTCAATAGTTTTACTAAAATGCTCAGATTTGCAGAAATAGCTTTAAGGGGTTATATATATATATCCACTTGTCAATTTTAAAAAAATTTATTTTATTTTTGCATATATATTTAATGTACATATATTTGAGAATATCCTCCGGTTCTGTCTGCAGTTGATCCGGTAAGTAGTTTCAGAGATATCATCGTATTTGTGAGAATTTTTTAAATTATTGTAATGGAAAGATTTTTTAAGCCATTCTGAAATTTTCACAAACAAAAAAATGTTTTATTTTTATTTTATATAAGTCGCCATTTTGTCAAAACTTAAAATTTTGACTAGTGCTTCTATCATAATTTTTTTGGATTGCAGATAATTTATATAAATAATCTTACTCACCGCCAGACACAATTCTTTGAAGGTTCTCCTAAAGATCGACTACGGGAACAAATTAATTCAAAATTTTTAAAAATAAGTCGCCGCTTATTTATGTGAATTTTTTTTATTTACTCATTGATTACAATATTTCTTCAAAAGAAATTCAACAAAAATTGCGTTTTTTTCTGATTTTCAAGTGGATATAACCTCTTATTATATAACCCGATATGAATTTCTAAACATATCCGACTTTAAATATGAATGCGGTGGATGCTTAAACCCCGTATTGGCTATCAAATATGTAAGTTTCACTTTTATTGTGGTTTATTGGAACTTTAAGCTATCTTCATTCTTTAAAAAAAAAATTAAATATATACATTAAAAATGTTATCTACATACATAACATATGTATGTATGTTCCAATTTCCAACCTCAAAAGTTTAGGCGTTAAAAATAAGTTCTCTATAAATTAGCGAAAAATAAAAATAACCAACTCAACTAAAAAATTGTCCGAAACTCGCACCAATTTCATTTTAGTATTCACAATTCTCTAGCCACGTCATTGCCTCAGTACTAGCACCTAGCAAATAGAGTTTACAAATATGTGTTTTATATCGTTCAGCAAACGAATTTGCTCCTTACAAATGAGAAAAGTTACGAACACATATATCTGGCAACACTGGCGTTAACACCAATAAGATTATATGGCATATACTTTTTTCAATTTCGGTTTGAAAATTTATTTTATGGTAATGACAGTTATGCATTTCCAGGCAAGAACTCTGTTATGTTTTGCTTATACTTCCGCTCACTTCACTGCCCACAACACGCAAAAACAACAATGTTTCTTCCTTGTAAACTTTCTCAATAATTTTAGTGTGTCAACCGACATTTATTGCAATGCAGTTTCCCTTTTATTGTGTTTCATTTCAACTACCAAGATCGATATAATTTTTAATTGGTGCTTTTTGTGGTTCAATTGGCAAGTTTGGTTTGTAAATCGGTAACGCTACATATAAAGGATAACCGGTTTTGAGCTTTAAAGTTTTTATTTACTTGTGTGATATTTATATATTATACTAGAAATACGTTTATTTGTATAATTTTTTAATCAAACTTGCAATTGCACGCCAATCATAACGTTGTTTTTTTTTCTACCAAATCGCACAAATTTGCGTACAGAAAATATTCTGTGTTTTAGACTCATTTGACATTCAATGAGGGATAAACAAGAAAAAACGTACGATCCTTCACAGATACAGAAAGTCCCTTAAAAGAACTTGATTCCGATCGTTAATTTTTTATGACAGCTATGTATATGCTATAGTGACTCGATTTGAACAATTTCTTCGGAGATTGCATCGTTGCCCCAGATAATGATCCAAGCCACATTTCGTGAACATTTAGCGAAAGTATACACATTGAAAAAAATAAACTTTGAAACTTTCATATCACGTAAAACATATATGCATTAGATCCATAAATTTGTACATACTATAACACTAAAATACCGGCTTCCATAATTTATCGATGGTAGCCGGTCATATATTTGAATTTTCAAAGCAAAAAGCGTCAAAATAAATGCGAAATCCACAAACTCACTCGCATATATGTGGGTAAATTCAAATGTGTGTGTGTGTGTATGTGTGGGTGACGGTACCTTGGTATTATTTTACAATCGTAACCTGGTAACATATTTTTAGTTGCCACTTTCCGGTAACCGCGTACATTCTTTATCGCTGTTTGCTAGCCACTGGATGGTTTTATATTGTAATGGTGTGTTCAAAACTGCTACGTATATGGATATATATACTCGTACCCATATACCTATACATATGTATATCTATATATTTATGATTTCATGCGCTCGCACATATAAGTTATGTTTTTGGTCAAATTATTTGCATATGTGCCATTAATAATTCTACTGCAAAAGCACATTGAGAAAGTTTGCAAAATTTGTGGTTTGGGTTATGGGCGATTGAATATTGCGTAGTTGAATTTTTAAGGGTCAAATGTTAAAATTTATTTAGGGAATATATACCATTTTTTAACATTTGTGTGAACAAGATACGAAACCAAAGATAAGCAATGCCAATACTTAGAAAAGTTAATACTGAAAAGAAATGTCTACCATAGATAAAAAAAACATTAACTTAATCTAATTCAATTAGTAAAAGAAAAAGATATGGAAAATTTTGTCTGTATATGAAATATCCAAAATTTTAAATTAACCGTATTGAAATTAAATAATACCGTTTAAAATGCCACCACTATAGCGAACGTAACTGCTAATGCCGCTTCATCCATTTGCCCTTTTTTATAAAAACTTTGCCACGATTTCAATGTGGTAAAATTTCTAGGTATTTCTGCCTTCAAATTTAAATTACATGATGACAGCATATCACAACATCAGTGCTGAGGTCCATATACCATATCCCATATTAGTCGTTAGACCCACATTAGTGATAGTATCTTTTTATATCTTGAACTTATAAATTATAAATTAAGTTAGTTACGAAGTTTGTGACACCCAGAAGAAAACGTCGGAGACCCTACAAAATATATTTGCATACAAATGTTCGGCGTGATGAGGGGAGTCGATCCGTTGGTCTGTCCGTCTGTCTGTATATACGCGAACTAGTCCCTCAGTGTTTGAGATATCGATCTGCTCTTAAAGCTATTTGGGTTTTGGGTACAGAAAATATTACAGAGATGCAATCCAGAGTGATATTTTTCTCGCATGAGTTAAAATTCAGACAAAATATTGAAAATATCATAAAATATCCGCCGGTGAAAATATTTAACTGCAACGAATCTAAGCGAAACAGCATTTTTCGTTTTTACCGTTGTTAGTAGAGATTCAGATCGATTCGCACGATCTATCTTATCTCAAGTTCTTCACTAGTATGAAAAATATTATTATTATGTTTATCTGGAGAGAAATATAAAACCTCCGAGGGTATTTCTGGCAATAAGATAACTGCTAAGCCGTTGCAGACCATTGGAGGGCAAAAAAAGCTTTTCTACAAAATACCTGTATATATCTAGTTTTCCGCATCGTTCCATATGGGTAAAAAATAAGCTATCAGAAAAGAAAAAAAAATCTTTTGACAATTAAAATTCTAATTAATTCAAAATTCCAATTTTCAATTTTTTTTTTTTTTTTAAATAATAAATTTTTTAAATCTACAACAATTACAATGCAATTATTTTCCAATTGTTTCAAGCGGCAGGCAAAAGGCATACAAAATACATAAATACCAAGAAAATCGTAAATAGCAGAAAATCTAAAAATTACATCAGAGACCAAGGGATTTCAAGACTGTGTCAGATTGTCTTCAACGACAGGCACACACTCATACTTATATGCAACACCGTTACTTCACACTGCAACTAACAACACTTTCTGCTCGTTTTTAATATGATTTCCCATCGTCCCACTTCTATTGTCAGCTTAGCTCATCTCAGCCAGGCAGCTCTAATGCCCAGCGCAATAACTTAAAAACCGAATGCAGTAGCCGACAATGCAAAGTATAAGGAAAAGGGGATGGGAAAACAAACAATGAGCGTAAGGCAACAAGCTGACGGCATGACAAAGCTACACAGATTCTTGGATTTGGATTCCCTTAAACTTCACACTTCTTACGTGCATATACAGGTAGGTTTGATTATTATTGTTGGAAATAATTTTTTTTTTTTTTTTACTTTTATTATTGGCACACTGAGTAATTCGGAGGGCGAGTACTGTTAAGATATTTTTTCCACGTAAGCGCTTGAAAGCTAGGACTTTTTCTGAATTTCAATATATATACTATATATATTTACAATTCTTTATGAGTTAATGAGACCGGGTCAAAAAATCGTGCCTGCGGTGTCATATAAAATCAATATAAAAAATTTTGAACTCAAGAGCTGCAAGAAATTTTAATTAGCTTCTAGGCGATTTTTTTTATACAACACGCCATGTTGCTAAAAGGCTAGGGAAATGCGCAGATTAATTCGACTTTTATTAGTATTTACTGTGAAAAATAAAATGTTAATTAATGAAAGCGTAGTGGTTGTGAGAGCCGGCACTGCACCCCTACAGTTAAACTCTTAACTCGGACCTGTACTGTCACTAGTTGGACCGTCTGAATGAAGCATTCGCCTAAAAGTTAGCTATCTTGCGGTTAGCTTTAGGCAATATGAGAGGTATTGCGTTCCATGTAGCCAACGCCAGGCCACAACATTAATAGTGACACCCCAGAAGATCCGTGAGATTGAATTAGTTGGCACCAAGTGATTCCTGTCTATGGCAACTGATTTTGCCTGCTCAAGAGAAGCTTGTGAAAATATACTGTCTGAATTTCTTCCCAATAGAGACCAGGGTTTTTATGTGTGTGGCAGTACCCTCAAAATTGCAAGAAGTCATCGAACAAACGATGTATATTTGACTTCAATCGGATCATTCTAACTATCCTAAATCAAATCTTCATCTTAATGCAAAAATAATCGATTTATTTGTACTAAACTTAATAAAAAGAAATTTTTATATTTGATTTGTACAATTAGCTTCTATATCGGATCGAATATAGCTTATCACAAAACATTTGTATGTATGCCAGTGAATCATTGATAACAAGCACTGCAATAAAAAGCTCTGCCTTATTTTCTCAGGATTATCGAGTTCGCTATATTTCTTCCCCTAGAACCGTTCTATTACCGTTTTGTAGCAAGTTACATTGACCATCTCTAGGCAAACCTTTATACCGAACATTGCGCTATACCACCCACTATGTCAAAAAAAGTAATAAAAGATAGAGTCAAAGAAGCAAATATCAGTGCGGCCAATAAGAGAAGTCACTAGATGGATGATGCATTACAAAAAGTATTGAGATAAATTTTAATAAAAATTATATATTATATAAAAGGTGACGCATCCTGTAATAGCATCTGAAAATATATTCCTATATATATCCTCCGTCTATGTAAAAAGTATCTAAATAGACCCCAAATCTCATCAACAATTTATGAAACACTTTATTACTTTTAATTAACGGTTTCTGATTTAGATTATTAGCCGTAATTTCATATGTAATCCACAAAAAAAGTAGAGAACAAAATTTGTCTATTTCAACTTAATAATTCAGAATAAAACATGAGATCACATGAACGATACGTTGAATAAACAACAACCAACGTCGAAACAACAATCTTTCTACTCCGATTGGCATAAGCGCCAGACAGCAACAACTCAGCAATCAGGATATCCGACAAACTACCACAAAACTTATTTAACCACTAAATATTTTTTTAGCTAAAAAAAAATGTCCGCACTGGCTTAAACGCTAAGCTAAAAGCTGGAAAAGGCAGTCTGAGTTGCAATATTAGCAACAGTAGCAGCATTTTAGGTGCAGAGGCAGTGAAGGAGGGCTATGCAACGAGCAATTGCTGCCAGTGAAGCCACAAACAGTTGCGTTGCAAACGCACAGATGCAACATGCATACATATATAGTATGTGTGTGTGTATGTAAAACGGCGGTGTGCAGAGTTAGTGGCAGCAACGCAGCAGATATCGAAGAAGAAAATTGTCTTCCTGTATGAATTTCATAATTTCCTTGGCGTTGATGGCTGATACAGCAGACAGCAAGCAAATGCGGAGGCGTCGGAAAAGACCAACATGCATAAGCAGAAGGCGTCTGTAGTGGTAACCAATTTCCTTTTCGGCTAAAATCTGAGCCAAGCACTTGTTTGTTGGTAATAGTTGATGGCATGTATACGTGCGTGTGTGTACATGCGTGTGTGTGTGTGTGTGCGAGCAAAGCTGAATTATAACTTTTGCAAGTGATTAAATGTTTGCGTACACTTTCTTATGCAAACCACACACACACACTTAGTAACTACGAGCGTAGCTTGGTGCAAATGCATTTAGCGCTGTTGTTGCTGTAGCGGATTTGCCAATACTTTGGCTCATTTCAACAACTTACAAATTATGAATTTCCATTTTAAGCTGCTAGGTTTTCATTAAAATTTTGCCACACGCTGTCAGCAGTCAGCAGCATGCAGCTGATGTGTTTGCATCGTTCTTGCAAGCATTGTAAGTTTGTTTATATGTAAGGCAGGGAATATAAAGTTGTTAAGTTTTGAGCAGAGACTTTGGCTTGAAATTGGCAATGGCTCAAAAGCGTTTAAGTAAGAGTTCTAGATTAAGATGTGGCACGTTAGAGGAGCCTTAGTTATAGTAAATTAAAAAAAAAAAAAACACATACTATAATGTTAGCTTCGGCTGCATCGTAACTATAATACATATTCACAGGTGCATTTTTTATATCATAAAAGGGTATACAATTTACTTTATTTTGATTTTGATCTGTCAGTTTATTTGGCCGCTAAATGCTTTAGTAGTCCGCTCTGAACACTTTGTTCGGCGATTGTGGCGTTGCCTCAGGTAATAATCTAAAAAAGTTTTCCATCCAAAAATTTAAACTTTGTCGATCAGTTTGTATGGCAGCTATATGTCATAGTTGTCTAATCTAAACATTTTCTCTTGAGATTGTTGCGATGCCTCTAGTTATAGTCTATGTTAAATTTCCTAAAAAATAACTTGACAAATAAAAAGTTTTCCATACAAACACTTGAGTTTGACAGTCCATTTGTATGGCAGCTATATGCTATAGTTGTCCAATTCGAAGGCGAGCAGCTTTTTGAAAAAAAAATACGTGTTCAAAATTTCAGGTCCATATCTCAAAAACTGAAGGACTGGTTCGCGTATATACATACAAACAGACGGACATGGTCTAAATCGACTCCGCTCGTCACGCTGATTATTTATGTACGTACATATTATATATATATATATATATTTTAAAATGTCTCTTAGGCTTACTTAATTTACCCTGTTTACCCTGTTCAGGGGTATAATCAATAACGAATGAAGAAATTGTTTATCGATATAGAAGTGTCCTAGTTTTTATACTGGGTTGGAGGAACAAATAAACCGATGACATCAATACATATTCACATCTTTACAAAATATCAATAAAATCTCTCATACACTTATACCTCGTACATAAAAGCTATTAGGGTACGGGACATACCACTTCTTCAAAAACTTTTAAGCCACAAATGAGCCTCAGTAGATTAGGTTTTAAATCTCAATTTTTACTAATTATAGCTCTTATACTTTAAAGATTAACGACACTTTATGGACGTGATAATGATCCGGTTAGCTATTTGGCATAAGAACATCGTCGGCGTTATCGTTTGTTTAGATGGAGTTACGATTAGATAAAACACCATGTCTGGGAAGTGGGTGTGGCTATAGCCCGATTTCGTTAAGCTTCAAGCTATAAAGAGGATGTACCAAAAATGTTATGAACAAATAGGTTAAGTAATTTTTATGAGAAGTTATATGTGTTCCTAAAACGGGTGATGCCACACAGAAGTTAATTTTTGAACGAATACAAATGGTATCATATTTTGCTTGTTTACTTCGCTCTAGAGTTATCGACTTTAGATATACCGTTAGATGCTCGAACTGCTCCATTTAAACTGTGCGCATAAAACGAATCCCAACCGAATCTATTGAATTGTTTCCTGTATTAGTACAAGCCTTTTTATGTTTGTATGAAGTTTGACCAACATATGTCAATCATTGTGTGTCTGGTAGTTGTTGACGACGCAATTTTTACAATGGAACAAAAATATGAAAAACGACGACGATTGAAATTTTGCATTTTCAATAGAATCACGTTAACGGAAACATTGAAAATGTTAAAGTGTTTTACTTTATCACGAACGCAAGTATTTGAGTGACACAAGGTAGTGAAGTCATCGAAAGCTTGCCTCATGCGAGTTGTCCATCCGCCTCTGTTAATGACGATAACATTGAAAAATTAAAAAAAAAAAAAACAATGAAGGATCTCAAAATCTCTTATTTATAAACTCAGCACATTTTAGTTAATGTTTTGGGTATGTATTGGGTGTGTTTTGGATATGTTTTGGGTATGCTTTGGGTTGACAACTAAGCAAACGTATCATTACTGCTGAAAAGACGTGGCTTTATGAATATAACGTCGAAACTATCCAACATTTTAGCGAATGGATCTCCAAAAATAAAAAAGCTTTTTTGAATGCGATAATAACATTTGCATTAAAATACGTGAAAATGCGTTTAAAGGTTGACTTGCAAGTAATCACAACATAAAGAATAATGAGAATTAATTTTGAATGAGCACTTGCTATTGGCATTTTTCTAACACCATCCATGACATATGACCATAAATATTCCGAGAGCATTACGCCACTAATACATTTTGGATACTTGAGCTTGCTTTTGCAAATAACCATTATTATAAACAACTTCATAAAACTTTGCAAACTAAAATCATGGGGTTTCTAACAGCCGACTTACTAGAGTTCAGCCTCATACATATACAACTGCATTCATTAATTGAGAGGAAACAAATTCACTCACAAATTTTGTCAAAATTTAATTTTCTTTTCGTAATTTTTTTTTTTGTATTTTGATATGCTGCTACTACAGCTACAACAAATTCCCCTTAATATCTTTGAGAGCTTACAAAACATTTGATAATAAAATTCTTTGCTAAAATTTACTCAAAAATAACAACACAAAATGAAAATTTGAGAAATGGAAAATGAAAATTCCTCGCATAC